CTGACAGCACCCGCACAAGGCGGTGGACGGACAGACAGACGTCCTTCTGTACGCCTGCATAAGTCCCCCTCTTGTTCTGTGCTCTGGGATAAATTATGGCATAAATTTATGTTCAAGTACGAACAGGTTTGAATTTCAAGAATGGAAAAGGCACTCACCCACCAGCACGGTGTGCCCTGCGCCTTCCTAGACAGTGTGACATGAAAATACATCTCCCTCCTGCCTCGATAAATTCCCCTGGGCTGACGAGGCTGCTGCTGGGGCAGAGCAGATCTGAGCCCAGCTTAGCTGGCGGCCCCGAGCCCCGGTGGTTGGCACCACCCAGCCCAAACACCAGCGGGGGCACGAACAAGCCCCTGAGCCCACCTCGATTCCCCGCTCCTCCGCAAACCCACGTCACGTCTGCACTGGGAGCCCCGCCAGAGCAGCCACCCGCGACATTGGCCCCAGCGCGGGGAAGACGAAGCCGTTTAAAGACGTCAGCGAGGGGACGGTGAGTTTGGTACGTAGCTAAAGGCACCGGCGGCCAGGAGAGCTGGGCTTCTCCCCCATCACCTCTCCATCTCTCCACCAAAAGCTCACAGGATCGAGGTGCTCCTACGCCAGGTGAGTCGCTCCGACCCCACAAGCAGAGATGCCTCCGCTGGGAATCGGGGGCACTGGCATGACCTCGGGGGAGAGCTGCTGGCCCTGCTAAAGCCTCACGCCCGCTCTAGATCAGCCACCCACAGCGATGCTCCCAAGCCAGCCAGGGTGTCCTTCTTCCACCTGTTGCTGTTTCCAAGAAAAAGAAAGAAAAGCTCTGGGAACTCTTCCCATGTCGTCCACGGAGACGATCAGGCCCTGGTGCCCATGGCTACGTGCCGTCTTCCAGAAGCGACAGCAGGAGATGCCTCTTGGGTGTGCGAGCCCGTCAACGGTGCTTCACATCAGCTCTCCTGGGCTCTCTCCCAGTCTTTATCACCCAACCTGCAGATCAGCCCTACCCCGCGCATCTTCCAGGCGTGCTGCCCTTGGGCTGGAGGAAAGCTCTGGGTCCAGCAGGACCAGGCTCCTGTACGGTCTAACTCAGAAGAGATTTGGCCTGGACACAAATATCAAGAAAAATCAGATGCTTGTTGAGATGCAATTAAATTAATAAAGAAATCAAATGATATGGGAGGACAAAATGTCCCAGGATCAACCCATGAATCACTGGCAGCTGCTGTGCAACTACAGTGGAAAGTATTGCCATAGCTGTGCAAGGGTTTGCACTTCCGCGTCACGTGCAGACGATACACCCAACTGATGTGCGTAGAAGCAAATTTCATTTCCTTCCTATATTCAAGACTGTCAGATTCATTCATTTTTTTTTCTTGCTGACTTGTGAGATATCCCCCAAAGTTCCCCCTTTGCAAACCACACACGAAGCATGCAGCTTCCCACCAGTCTTCAGCCAGGCTCATGCCAAGAGCCAGGCGAGCTGCCACGCTGGTACATTTTCAAATTTGGCTATTTATATTCTGCATGAGCTTCCTCTTTCCTACCGCTGCTTCTCCAAGATGCTGATTGTGCATTCCGCACATGTTGGTTACAAACCAGCGAAGCGAAAAGCAGCAGCAGGACGGAGCCGGTCAAGTCCCACTCCACCACCTGCACCAAACGCACGTTTCTCCCTTTGCAGATGAGGAGACACGGGGTGGGAGCAGGGCTAGGAGAGACACGAAACCTTGACCCGTGGCTTAGGTACATGCTGGCCCCCAAGAACGCTGCAACCCTACGTCTGGCACTCACACCAGGATTTCCAGCAAGTCACCAAAGACGAACGTCTTCCAAATGGTCTCCTAAAGAGCTCTGACGGACAAGTGCCAGTAAATATTACCACTGCCGCTCGCCGTTGCCTGCCCTACACGTCTGCTGGACTTTTCTGCCCCTCACAGCAGAAGGGAACGTGAGTCGGGCCTCGGCCAGCACAACCGCAGCCCAGCACCCATGTGCAATCCCTCCTTCATCAGTGGTTCAACCTGAATAACCAAGCACCGCACCACGGCAGAGATACAGGCGAACAGCCCCTTCTGCCTACTGCGTCGCGTTGGTAGAAGAGACGCGGCCAACAGGCCCAGACAGTGCTTTAAAATGGCTGCAACAAGATTCGGGAAAGCTTCTCTGTGAAATCGCTGACTTTGAGCCTGTTGACGGTTATGGCTTTTGCACCTTCCACCAAACTCATACAGAAGGGACCCAGTGCCCCGGAAAGTGAGATCCAAAGCATTTCAAATTAGGCACCAAAAAAAGAGAAGACCTAGAAAATGAACATTTGATCACGGTTTCTCCAGCTCAGTGTGCAATCCTGCTCCTCTCCATACAGCAGGAAAAGGGCCTCTCGATGGAGGGGCGCAAGGAAAAACCACGTGTCTAACTTCGGGGTATCAGACGCCCAATTCTGCAGAGGCGGAGGCTTTTGCAAAAGCAGCCGTAAGTGAACTCCCCAGGAGTTCATCCCCTGAAATATGAAACGGGAGGTCCGCACCAGATGGCTTGCCTGGTTTTACAGACCGCCTCTTCCAACCGCAGATAGCCCCGGGCTGCGTGAGCAACGGCCAGCTCCCCACTGATAGTTCAAAGCATTGGTGACTACACCGGGGAGGAATTCCTGCTCCGTGCAATAAACTGCTCTACTCTCTGGTGAATGTTCTAGTACACAGCGCAGTGTCGAACCCCACGTCTTCACACAGAGCTTTAATAACGAGCTCTAAGACGCAGCCAAGGTTTGGGAGCCTGGAGGAAGCGCTGGGGTGTGAGGGACCCTCGCAGGAGCAAGGCGGAGCGTGCGGGGAATCTGCCTTCGTCTCTTCTCGCCAGCTGAAGGGAAAACACAAAAGCCAAACAGCAAAGCAAAACATTGGCTAGGAATCTCCATTTTAGAAAGTGTCTGAGATCAGTCACAAAGGTGGTTTTAGTAAGACAGGAGCAAAGTGCAGGATTAAGCGTGAGCATGACAGCGTCCCTGCACGTTACACACAGACAATTATCCAACAATTACCAGGTCTTAAGAGCTCTGGTCCCACGTGCCCCTGGGTTAGCACACTGGCCTCCAAAGACACAAAATAATGAACTGTTATTGGAAAAAGGTATTAATTTCAGCACACGTGGAAGAGGCAAAACTGCTTAAAGTGCTTTTACTGATGCTCACTGGACAACAGCTGGTTTAAAGATCAAGATGTTCGCGTTACTCTGTTCCCTTTCAGCTGAGCTGCACAAAACGCCTGTTCTGCAGACAGGTATCACGCGGCACCAAGGGTTTCTTTGCAGCACGGACTGCTGCTACCAGCCACCAGCGTGACGCAGATGCTAACCCTGCCACGGGGAGCGGGAACCTGCGTCTGTTGGGAATTAACGGTCTCGCTGGCTAGAGAGACGAGAAAAGGCAGAGCT